TACTAAATGATTGTCTTTTATCTACTAATTTCAAGTTAAAGGAACTGTATCCTCGTTATTGTAATTCCTTTTCTGCAATGCCAGTCTCCTTCCTTGTAATTTACCTCTTCTTCATTCCTCCTGCCTCGTTAATGTTAAATTAATGTTGCGAATAACTGTAGGGTTACCTTTTTTTGTTTTTTTTCTATTATATTCGATTTAGAAGTTCCTTTTACCTGTTTTTTTTTGGTAGGCTTGAAATGTCCGCAGATGCATTGCCTGAAAAAGCGTGTCAACTTGACAGCCGCTACTGGAGAATAACAAATGCCAAGGGGGATGTTGAAGAGGTGCGAGGTCCAGGAGTAGTAGGTAATGATGGCTTCATACATGTCTAATACAAAATACAATTTCAGGCCTAGAGGCAAAATATGAAGAAGAAAAAAAAAAACATATTCAGCCACTCCTCTATTTTGGCCCATATTTAAAATGTTGCTTATCAAATAACCACTATCTCCTGTTTAGAGTAATGGTCTCATTGGGAATACACAATTCCAAAAATAAGGCTGCACTCACGGCCTTCATAAAATCCAAAAATGCAAAATAAGATCAACGTTTCAGTCCACATGTAGGACTTAACTCAGGATCAAAAGAACAAGTGTGTGTGTGTGTGTGTGTGTGTGTGTGTGTGTATATATATATATATATATATATATATATATATATATATATATATATGTATATATATATATATATAATACCACTATATATATATATATGATGATGATGATGACATGATGATGATGTATATATATATATATATATATATGTGTATATATATAATATATATATATATATATATGTGTGTGTGTGTATATATATATATATATATGTATATGTGTGTATATATAATAATGTATATATATATATGTATTATTAGTATGTATATATATATATATGTGTGTATATATATATGTATAATATATGTATGTATGTTATTAATGATGTGTATATATATATATATATATATATATGTATATATATATATATATATATATATGTATATGTATATATATATATGTGTATATATATATATATATATATATATATATATATATATATATATATATATATATATATGTGTGTATATATGTATATATATATATATATGTATATATATATGTATATGTGTGTATATGGAAGGCATGGCCTGAAGTTGTGGGAGGGGCTTGGTTCCCCTTCTTAAGGAGCACCAGCCCTTCCTTCATTACGTGTTAGGTCTGGCGAGTTGTGGAGAGAGGTCGTCACTTCCGGTCGGTCCTGACTCCATTCTACTTACCTGCATCTCGTGGGCAGCCTCCAGGGTCCCAAGGAGTCCTGTTCCTCCGGTTTCTGACTTGAAAGCAGGCAAGGGGTTTTCGCAGGGCTTCTCGTGGCGGCACCAGGTCGCAAAATCGTAAGTCTTACGGCCGCCGCAAGTTTCGCCGCGGCCATTGCACGTCATCAATGGTCGACGGGCGCACGCATTGTACCACTTGTTCGGTACATATTTAAACGAATGCCGGCGTTCGTGTATGTCATATTGGCATATGGGTATAAGTGAACAGGGTTTATTCGGTTGGGACAGACTTTGCATATTCGGGCCATCTCATGGCCATTCGGGTAACGAAACGCTGTTCATATTCGATTATAAGATGGCTATATGTATTAGGGCGACATCTAGTGGCTGGACCTTTTATTTCGTTTTTCACCTTTCTCCTGACTTCACTTTATCACCAAATGTTCTGAATTGGGTTGAAATGTCTGACTGACCCCTGGTGGTCATAAGGGTTATGACATGTGGCATAATTACATTTAATATTTTGGCATTTGTCACAGGATAAGAAGACATATGTCATAAAACGCTACTGGTGCTAATTGTCCTGATGGTATTGGCAGCAGTAGTTTGTGGCACGTATTTGCTTATTATGATATGTCTTGAATAAACCCGGTGGTCAACAGGATGGTTACAAGAAATGTGTTACCTTGGCTTACGGGGTCTTTTTGTTTCTACTTCAGTTATATCTAAGCACGTACATCATAGCTACTCATTTAGGAGTATTAAATGTTTGGTAATTACGTATTATGCAGATATTTACGGTTGGGCAAGGTTAGCAACTTAGAGATTATGATCCTCTTATGTGTCAGTATCACAACATCCACAGCATGCTGCTACCCTATCAACTGTTCACCTGTCATAGGTCAGTAATCACAATTAATGATCCTCCCGTGGACTCGCAAGACCTGGGTCCTTATGTATATTTTTCTGTATTACTAGGCATAGGCATCCTTGATCATTTGGAGTATTTGATTCCAGTCTTCTATTGTTGGAATATTTTCCGGTAGGTATCTTGTTTTGCAGGGGGAATGATGGGTACATATTGATATAACCCTGGAAACTCACTGTTACTACAGATCGCCTGTATCACCTTATCCTACTACCTGGCTATTTGCTCATAAGGTATGTCATGTTGATCTCGATAAATTCTTCCACCCTACCTACCCTTTTCGGGTAATAAGCTAGATATACTGGCATACAATATAGGAGCCTCCATGTATGTTTTTCTTGGCCTTCTACGCCTTACGTTAGTGGTCCCACGAGGCCAACACCCATCCTAATTTCGGAGGTACGGCATCCCCTCGGGCCAATTCATAGCTAGCCGCCTCGCTCAGTTGCATAGAAAGGGCCTCACCTGTCACTCCCATTCTGTCTTATGCTTTTACGAGTCACAGAGAGGCCATCACCCTGCCATAATGCCAATGGCCACGTACCCCACACAAGCCAAATCATAGATAGTGCCTCTCAAAGCCGCTTGGCAACTAGTAGGGCCTCACCAGTCACGTTCTAAGTAATTTTTCGCTGCTTGGCATTAGTTACACCAGCCAGTGCAGTAGGACCCCAGATAACATATTATTTTATGTTGTAGCATGCCACAAATACCTGAAGGCGGGGAAGATTTGTCCATCCCCAGCACACCGGCTAGATCAGTCACTCCATCCCGGGGGGACGACAACGCGAGCCCTGCATCACTCAGGGCATGGACCATTCCTCGGATCACTGCCGAACTACGAAAGAGGAACATTCCTTTCCCAGCCACTGCTAGGAAAGCAGAATTGTACAGACTGTTGAATACACAGACTGATAACTCAGGGGCGGGGGAAGGGTCCAGTGGCAGCCAGTCTTCTGATCTGCATACTGTTTTGTCCTCACCTCTTAGGGCCGTATTACCGATAAACTTGACAAGTTGGATGCAGATAGCCAGCAGCGGTCAGCTTCTGCATTAGGTACCCCAGTCGCTACGGCGCGCCTGGATCCCCTACCGGGTAATATACCAAGCAGTCTTAAAAATCCGCTTATTATTAATCCGGCACACATGGCGCCTGCAAACACTAAGAAGGAAATCTTGGAAGGGAAGGATATCAATCTGGTATCTCTTCTTATAGCCTCGCAAGATGTCCTTGAAAATAGAATCTACGCATATGGGGATGTGTCGGTGGTATTAAAATCCAGGGACCCTAGGTTAAATCGGAAGCTATCTATCCCCGAATTTGTGTTAGATTTCGGGATATACAGAGATGTGATTTGCTCAGTATATCCGGATAGGAGAGAAGAGTTGGACCTTTATCTCCACAAGCTGGTGGATTTGGGGCACAAGTACGGTGGTACGTCCTTTTACGACTACCACCGTGCCTTTTCCGTGAAGGCGTCGGCCGCTCTTACTCAGTTAAATCATCAAACTGATTGGGGTGTGCTTGATACAGAGCTTTTTTGTCAGCACTTTGCGGGCCTCAAAACCCCAGCTTGTGCCATTTGCTCGTCCAACTCCCACACGGCTAATCTGTGCCCTAACTCTCCCGAGGTGAATGCCGTTTTTCCCCCTACTAACATGATGCCCACTGGGAGAACAGGCAGGGGGCTGAAAGACAAACTAGGCCGTGATATAGTGTTTTGGGGAAAATCGCAAGTCTGTAACAATTTTAACACTGGCACTTGCGGATACAGTGCCTGCAGACTGCTTCACGTCTGCTCCCAATGTTTCAGGGCACACTCAAAAGTAATGTGCCCCAATAAATTATATCCTAAGCAGTATTTATCGTCTCTTAATGTCTCCCTACTGGAAAAGCTTTTGTGTGAGCACCCATCGCGCCATCTCGTTGAGTTTTTGGTGGCAGGATTTGCTTTGGGGTTTCACACGGGTATTATTCACATGCCTACGGGAATCTTGGAATGTAAAAACATGCAGACAGCCCTAGCAGCTCCAGACACCATAAACTTACTCCTCCAGAATGAAGTTGACCAAGGTTTCTTAATAGGCCCTTTAGTCTCCCCGCCTTTCGCTGTCTGGAGAACTAATCCCATAGGACTGGTCACTAACAAATCCTCCAATAAGCAAAGGTTAATTCTCGACCTATCTGCTCCCCATGCATCACCTACCCCAAGTCTCAATTCTCTTATTCCATCAGAAGAATTTTCCCTCCAATATGCGACCATAGATAATGCCATCACTGCCATCCTCTCTGCCAGGGTAGGGGCATGGCTGAGTAAAACTGATATTGTAAACGCCTTTAAGTTACTCCCTATCCACCCTTCCCTGTGGCATTTACATGGTGTTAAGTGGCAAGGTTCGTATTATTTTTTCACACGCCTCACGTTTGGTTCTAAGAGCAGCCCCAGGATTTTTGATATATTTGCTGAGACGTTGTGCTGGATGCTGCTTAACATCTGTAAATGCCCAACCGTGATACATTACCTGGAAGACTTCCTGACCATAGAAAAGAACCTGGTGCCTCCTGTCCATAACGCGACTGTTCACACAACTAGGGGTACCTGTTTCACCAGCAAAGACTGAAGGTCCAGATACGATCAACTTCTTGGGAATGGTACTGGACTCTGTACATATGCAGGCTAGCCTCCCCGGGGAGAAGATTAATCGCATCCTAGCAGCCATTGACCTTTACCTAGCAGGTGGCTCGTGTAATAGGAAAGAATTACAATCCCTGTTGGGTTCCCTAAATTTTGCCATGAAAATAATTCCACAGGGGAGAGCGTTCATATCCCGTTTGCTTAGGCTATTTCCCCTGTTTCACTCTGATACCACCCGCATAACGTTAGACATACATGCCACCGCTGTCCTACATATGTGGAGAGACTTTTGCTAAATTGGAATGGGAAAAGCATTTTTATCCCAGTATGGTCAGATAAGTCAGTGTCATTATGGACGGATGCCGCTGCCACGTCGGGTTTCGCAGATATTTGTGGCAATGAACGGATGTGGGGTAAGTGGCCAGGGGAAATTACTGCAATCCCCGAGTTCAAAGACACATTAGCCTTATTCGAGCTTTACCCCATTGTGGCAGCAGCAGTTAAGTGGGGAGCTGGCTGGTCTGGGAATACGGTGCGTTGCTTCTCTGACATGGCAACGTGCCATATTGTAAACAAGGGTCGTTCCTCTTCCCTGGCCATCATGCGGTTTATGAGGACTCTCACTTGGCTAGCTACTAAACACCGTTTTCTTTTAACTTGCATTCATGTTCCTGGGGTGCTCAATATCGCTACTTATCACGGTCTCGGTTTCAGGAGTTCCGGGCAGCACTACCAACAGCTACCCCGACACCGACTCCAGCACCTCAGTGGCAGGAATTGGTTTGGGACTAAAAGAATTGCTCTATCACGGGCAACAACTTTCGCAACTCGGTCTTTCCAATAACACCAGGAAAGCATATGGCAGAGCTTATCATGTTTTCAATAAATTCTTGCTGGACTTTAATGTCACTGACCAATTCTCCATTTAGACTATCATCGCATTTATTTCTTTTTGCCACCTTCATCTGACACTGTCATATAACACCATTAAGTTGTATGTCACAGGTATTCAACATCACGTCCTCACAACCTGGCCTAATAGACAACGATTTCTGTTATCCTACCAAGTTAAATACATACTGAAAGGTATTAAAGACTCCACTCCTATACCCTCACCGTCCATACTACTCATTCACGATCTTTTGTTTCAGTCACTATCCAATCTGCTAGACACCTCACCATTCGAAGCCCATACCAACCATGTAATTAGAACAGCCATCTATTTGGCTTTTTACGGTTTTCTTAGGCCCAAAGAGTTCACCACCACTAACTATAACTCCCCTGACTTCATCACTAGGTCGAATCTGGTAAAAGTACTAGATCACTACGTGCTATCCCTACACCATACCAAAACTACTGCTAAAGGACAGACTGTCACTATCACCTATTACCCCACTAACAATAATTGGTATCCGGTGGAAGTTTTCGACAAATACCTCTCCTCTTGTACCATAGCCCCTACACAACCACTCCTTACGTTACACGGTAACAAGCTAACAACAAGTAAATTCATGGTGTATGTTAGGATGTTGTTGGTCCGTTTAGGCTTAAACCCAGCAAATTACCCTGGCCACTCATTTAGAATAGGAGCCGCCACTACAGCTTCTAAGAAGAATATCCCGGCTCACATAATTAAATTTTAGGCCGTTGGAAGTCCACGGCTTACACAAGATACATCCCTCAGCCAATACAAGAAATGCGCTTAGCATTCAAGACCATGAATATGTGATATGCTATGATATATTTGTAGGATGAATAAACTGGTTATATCTTTTTTGCCATCTTTTATTTCAGGCCTACTGCCTTGTCAGTTCCGGCACACCACAACTGACATTTCCATTCCCTGTTTGTCTTATGTTACTAATACTACGGCTTTATGCAGTGACCACAAATGGAAGGCATGGCCTGAAGTGGGAGGGGCTTGCTTCCCCTTCTTAAGGAGCACCAGCCCTTCCCTCATTACCTGTTAGGTCTGGCGAGTTGCCTCTCCCACCACACCTCCTTTTTAGCACTTCATAAGGTAGGCCCTCTTTTATTTCAGGCCTACTGCCTCGTCAGTTCCGGCACACCACAACTGACATTTCCATTCCCTGTTTGTCTTATGTTACTAATACTACGGCTTTATGCAGTGACCACAAATGGAAGGCATGGCCTGAAGTGGGAGGGGCTTGCTTCCCCTTCTTAAGGAGCACCAGCCCTTCCCTCATTACCTGTTAGGTCTGGCGAGTTGCCTCTCCCACCACACCTCCTTTTTAGCACTTCATAAGGTAGGCCCTCTTTTATTTCAGGCCTACTGCCTCGTCAGTTCCGGCACACCACAACTGACATTTCCATTCCCTGTTTTGTTACTAATACTACGGCTTTATATTATATGTATATGTGCTTCAGCCGGCGTTATCTGTGCTGTGTTTTGAAAGTAATCTGTAGAGCTTACAAATTGCTAATTACGAGTTGTGTACACCACACCGGTGTGCAGCACAGTGGTTTAAAGCCAGTGCTCTAGCGGACAATGTAATTTTCTCCAAGTTAATTCTAAATACACATATTGCAGTTTAAAGACACATTGCTGTGAGTTTATGGTTGAGAAGCTCTGCTATATGTCCGAGCACAATAAATATTTTTGAGTTATTAATGAGAGGAACAGACTGATTTGGGCCCAAATCATCCCCTTCTAAAGATAGAGCTTTAGTAGGTCTGTGCTACTATTGCGTAACCCATTCAGCTTTGTGTGGCACCTTGGTATTAATTATTTCCTCTGTAATTGTGCTATTTCAGGGGATTACCCCGAGCTCAGAGCCGGCCGTGTTTATGAATATACAAGCTGCACCACCTTCTCCACAACGTCTGGCTACATGGAGGGATACTATACATTCCACCGCGTGCATAAGAAATCAGAAGTCTTCACTGTTGCCATTCCCCGGTTCCACATGAAGTGCCCTGCTTTCAAAGTGTCTACTATTACAACTGTAAGTAACATGATGGACTCACTAGTTGTTCCTTTTTAATTCATGATGCGCTGGTAAATCTGATGGCGAGTGGACTCCCATCGA